GTCACATGGTGCCTCAACTTATGACCAGAACTTATGATCGTAATTCCAGGTTCTATTGTAGTTTTAAGTCAAAGACTACCTGTATGGATTTTGGAGAGAATGTATTTTATACTTCATATTTCTTAACTACCCTTTTCCCTCAGATTAAGTAAGACTGATTTACACTTCATAAAAAGCACAAATTGTCAATAAAGATCTAACTAACAAAAACCTGTGAGATACAGAAATGGACAAGACAGGGATGTCTCCTCTCCTGTTTATCTTAATTTTTGAAATATTGAATAGAGATATAAGATGAAAACTGAAAAAAAAAAGATTAAGCAACATAAATTAAAGGCATTTGCTAATGACTTCGTGCTTTTTTAAAAAAAGATAAAACAATAGTTAAATAAAAATGGTTAACTTACGCTAGTGTATTTCTCTCAAGGAGATCTTAAGTTAAAAACAAGAGATTTGGGATTAGGTTATATAGTATACATCACTGATTTTCTTATGCTCAGGTAAGGAAGAGATTCAAATTTGACAAGAATTATGATTTTGAAAATGGTAAAACTGAATCTGATGTGAAAATGGATACAAATGATCACATTATTTCAAAGATGTCCTAATTTACTGAAGATGGAAACTGAAGATGAACATGTCAGACTATGTCGGAGATGGTGAAATTTACATTCTGATTAAACTTTTGACTAGTTTTATCTCTGCTTGAAACCAATTTTGGAACTGGGAGAAATGAAATTCTGACTTTGGGATTTGATGAATAAAGTTATATGGAATTATAAAAATAAGGTAGGTTATTAACTTTAGAATTTGATGCATTTTTATCTATGTCTATACTAAAGAAAGTTGGAAGTCATTTTCTTTTTATTTTGCTTTTTTCCAGTTTTTTTTCTTTTTGATTTATTTGCTATCTATAGGGAAGTTCCTAGAATGCTGTGCAATGTTGTCATATGGACTAGAATTCATTTAAAGTGATTAGTGCTTTTGATACTAAATTGTTTTATATATTTACAAATTTCCCCTTTCAGGAGAAATTAATGGCAAATTCTGCATTTAGTCACCAATTAAATTTGCAATATCATTTGTACCATTACCTTCCTCCAAATGTTATTGAAAAATAAACTTTCTCGAAAGCCGAAATGAAGTTAAATGAATCAGAACTTTACAGGAAACTCATTTGTTTTTTAAATCACACATGCCCATTTTTCAACTCTGTGATGTGATTTTATAAACGAGTTTTCTATATAGTTCCCATTCCTTTAATTTCATAGATTAAAAAATTAAGATCAAGTGCTGGACATCTTTCCTCTTCTACCTCTCTTAAGATTTCAAGAGTAAGCTGTTCCTCAGACCATCAAATATAAGTCAACCTAAGCAGTGGTGGGTTCCCAATGTTTTTTACTACCGGTTCAAGTGCGCTCACATCCACAGAAGCAGCCGGGCTGGTGGGCAGAGCCTCTCGCAGCTGCTACCAGTTTGCCCAATCCGGGCCGACCCACCTCTAAAATCAGTAATAGCATGAAAGAAGTCACAAGTTTGGATTTTTTTTAAAAAAAGCTCTCAAAGTGTTTTGTTAAAAAACATAGGTCAGACTTTCTATCTGAAGTAAATTTACTATATTGCAATATAATCCATTTAATAATTAATTTGTTCTATACTCAGCATAACTGGATTAATAAAATCTACTGTTGTACATAATTCTTTTTTATGAAGTATAAACATAAATAATGACAGGAGAACAATCTATCAAATCACACTATATAACTAAGGACTCCTGAAGCGTGGCAATTTACACCAATTAATAGTTGATTTGAATGTTAGATGATGTTAATGTTTATGAAAAATTATAATCAATTAAAGATGCATATTAAGATATATCAAACACTTGAAAGATGTTATAGCTGCTATTTTTGTTGTTTTAATTCTGGTCTTTTTTTTAAAAAAAAATCTGTTTTACTAGCCACCAAGGGTTAGGTACTGGTATGTAAGATGGGTGGCCTATAAATTTATTAAATAAACAGAAATATAATGCATGATATAAAAAAGTACACTGCCAATTCTTAATCTTGTAAGCTGCTGTAAGGCCACGTAAACTTCTGCAACTGCAAGAAATAAAAAGGGCTCCAAGAAATATGAAAGAATAATTAACTTTAAAAAAAGCCAATTTCTTAAATCTTTGCTTTATTGATCAAGTCCCTCTAAGTCAGGAGAAATCCTATGACATTTTAAAAATCATGATGATAAAATTACACAAGTCCCTATTTGCCCTTTTGATATTTGCCTTTACCTTTTATTTCAATATACAGATTTTTTTTTAAAAAAATGAACATTATACAGCGCTTTGTTTCCTCCACTTGAATTTGCAATTCTGGGCTTGGACAGAATTTTTTTCTCACATATAATTAACATAATTTAAAATGGATTGGGGGCTGGGAAATCAACAGCTTTTGTACTGCTTTTCACTTTCACAGTGTAAGGAAACGCACATATAATCACTATGAGAAG